TGGAGGGTATATAAATTGGTGAAGTCACTACATAGGTTCCTTTAAAAACTAAAAATAGAGCTAACATTTGATCCAGCAACCTCACTCCTAGGCATGTGTCCAGAAAAGATGAAAACTCTAATTTGAAAACATACATGTATCCCAATGTTCATAGCCACGGTATTTACAATAGCAAAGATATGGAAGCAACCTAAATGGCCATTGACAGATGAATGGAGAAAAAAAGATGTGCCCCCTACCACAGAATATTATTCAGTCATAAAAAAGAATGAAATAATTCCATTTGAAGCAACATGGATGGACCTAGAGATTATCACACTAAGTGAAATAAGTCAGATAGAGAGAGACAAATGTCATATGATAGCACTTCTGTGTGGATTCTAAAAAAATGATACAAATGAACTTAATTACAAAACAGAAATAAACTCACAGACACAGAAAACAAACTGATAGTTACCAAAGGGGATGGGGTATGAGGGATAAACTAGTGGTTTGGGATTAACAGAGTACTGTATACAAAACAGGTGAACATCAAGGTCCTGTTGTGCAGCACAGGGAACTCATATTCAGTATCTTGTAATAACCTATAATGGAAAAGAATCTGGAAAAGATTACACATTTATATATAATATATAAATCATTGTGCTGTACACCTGAATTAACACATGGTAAATCAACTATGCTGCAATTTTTTAAAAAAAGATCATACCCATTTCTCTTTTTTCCAGCTCTACTGAGATATAATTGGCACTTAACATTGTATAGTTTAAGATGTATAACATGTTGATTTGATACATTTATAAACTGTAAAATTATTCCCACCATAGCATTAGATACGACCTCCATCCCATCATATAGTTACCATTCCCTTTGTGTGCTGAGAACATTAGGTTCTACTCTCAGCATATAAATTACAACATTTAACCAATGTAACTGCCTTCTATTTCCTCATGGAGATAACTGTAGGCAAGTAACTGAATACAGTTTGAAATACACAAACATTTAACTACTAGCAAAACAAACATTACAAAACCTCCTCTGGCCACACACATCCCTTTGACATATCTTAAGGTGGCAAACTAAAGACATATACTTGCTGCTGTTGTTCAGTCACTCATTCATGTCCAACTCTTTGTGACCCCATGGACTGCAGCACGCCAGGCTTCCCTGTCCATCACCAACTCCCGGAGCTTACTCAAACTCATGTCCATCCAGTTGGTGATACCATCCAACCATCTTGTCCTCTGTCATCCCCTTCCCCTCCTGCCTTCAGTCTTTCCCAGCATCAGGGTCTTTTCCAATGAGTCAGTTCTTTCCATCAGGTGGCCAAAGTATCAGAGTTTCAGTTTCAGCATCAGTCCTTCCGGTGAATATTCAGGACTGATTTCCTTTAGGATTGACTGGTTGGATCTCCTTGCTGTCCAAGGGACTCAAGAGTCTTCTCCAACACCACTCAAAAGCACCAATCCTTCGGCACTCAGCTTTCTTTATAGTCCAACTCTCACATCCATACATGACTACTGGAGAAACCATAGCTTTGACTATTTGGACCCTTGTCGGTAAAGTAATGTCCCCACTTTTTAATTTGCTGTCTAGGTTTGTCATAGCTTTTTTTCCAAGCAGCAAGCGTCTTTTAATTTCACGGCTGCAGTCACTGTCTGTAGTGATTTTGGAACCCAAGAAAATAAAGTCTGTCACTGTTTCCACTGTTTCCCAATCTATTTGCCATGAGGTGATGGGACCAGATGCCATGATCTTAGTTTTTTGAATGCTGAGTTTTAAGCCAGATTTTTCAGTCTCCTCTTTCACTCTCATCAAGAGGCTCTTTAGTTCCTCTTCACTTTCTGCCATAAGAGTGGTATCATATTTCTCCCAGCAGTCTTGATTCCAGCTTATGCTTCTTCCAGCCCAGCGTTTTGTATGATGTACTCTGCATGGGAGTAAATAAGCAGGGTGACAGTGTACAGCCTTGACGTACCCTTTTCCCCATTTGGAAGCAGTCTGATATTCCCATCTCTTGAAGAATTTCCCACAGTTTGTTGTGATCCACACAGTCAAAGGCTTTAGTGTAGGCAATGAAGCAGAAGTAGATGTTTTTCTAGAATTCTCATGCTTTTTCTGTGATCCAACGGATGTTGTAATTTATATGCTAAGAGAGTAGAACCTAATGTTCTCAGCACACAAAGGGAATGGTAACTATGTGATGGGATGGAGGTGGTAGCTAATACTACGGCAATTTGATCTCTGGTTCCTCTGCCTTTTCTAAATCCTTTCTTTGGGACTGGAGTGAAAACTGACCTTTTCCAGTCCTGTGGCCACTGCTGATTTTTCCAAATTTGCTGGCATATTGAGTGCAGTACTTTAACAGCATCATCTTTTAGGATTTGAAATAGCTCAATTGGAATTCCATCACCTCCACCAGCTTTGTTTGTAGCAGTGCTTCCTAAAGCCCACTTGACTCAATAATTACATTAGACCAGAAGAATAGGTCTTATTTTACTATTTTACAAGCAACTGAGCCAATAGTGGTTATTTAGCTACTGAGTGACACACTTAGAATTTTGGTTTCCTGATTTCTAATCCAATATACCACATTATTTCTCAAAACGTGTGCATGTGCAAGTGAAAAATATACCAAAGAAAATACATTGAAGAAGAAAATTCTTGCACAGATGTGATTCACAGAGAAGGTATCTGAAATGGTTTGCATCCTAGTGGAGGAGACTTTAGACACTGTTTTGGTAGAAGCTAATGAAATTAGACTACAGTTTCTTTTACTCAAATTCCCTCTACTATGGGGGAGGGGAAGATCTCCTAATAAGTTGAGCTCCTGATGGTTTTCCCTTTAGAGTACTTGTAATGGAGGAACAAGAAAGTGAAATGTGAGTGGTTTCCTGATTTTTGTTGTAACAAAAGCTTGTTGCTGAAATTAGCTCTTCTCCCCCTCCTACTACCCAAACACAGCATCCATTATTCTTCCCTTCCAAAGCCATCTTAGCAAAATCAGCCCAGCTGAGACACCAGACCTAATGTAGGACATCTCCCATAGGATACTCAAGCTTCCTCTTCTGGCTTGCTTTTTGGGTGTCAGGGCAAATCGTTACTAAAGAGAGACTGCTGCTGCTGCTGCTAAGTCACTTCAGTCGTGTCCGACCCTGTGCGACCCCATAGACGGCAGCCCACCAGGCTCCTCTGTCCCTGGGATTCTCCAGGCAAGAATACTGGAGTGGGTTGCCATTTCCTTCTCCAAGGCATGCATGCATATTAAGTCGCTTCAGTTGTGTCCAACTCTGTGCGACCCTATGGACAGCAACCCACCAGCCTCCTCTGTCCACAGGATTCTCTAGGCAAGAATACTGGAGTGGGTTGCCATTTCCTTCTCCAAAAGATAGACTGATACACCGCCAAATGGGAAGGCAGACTAAGCCTGGCTGTAAGTGGCTCTGTCTGGGGCCTCTGGTGTCCCTAAGAAGGAAGCCAGTGTTCACATAGGGCACTTGGAGTTACCAGTGGTACACCCAAAGGAACCTCCCTCTCCCTCCACTAGCCAAAGAACATTTTGTGATGAGATTGTACTCCCGTAACTTTTTAATTTTTCCCTTTCACCAGTTTGTATTCAACCATTCAGAATTCTCTGGGTACTTTAGGATCCCTTTTCATTAAAACATGCTGTTGGGTAACAATTGCTAGAATTTTCTTCAAGTCATTTTTCATGTCAGTCCCCTTCATCGTCATTGTTCTCCCTCTAAAAAACTGTCATCCTGTAGGGATGATTTAAAAGTCATTTCTGCTGACCCTATCACTGACTCAGAGAAAACAGTAGGGGTTAAGTCCGGTGCCTACACCACACAAAATTTAGTCCTGGGCAAGTATGGTTCCTATTGGCCAAAGGAAGAAACTGAAACACATCTGGGCTCTAAGACTCCTCAAGGTTGCACTGATGGTCAAGGTCTGAGCTCTAATTTTTAGAATAGTAGGACTGAATAACGCTATGTGCTGTGGATGTGCGTGCTAAGTCACTTCAGTTGTGTCTGCTTTTGCGACCCAGGGTGTGCCTGCCAGGCTTCTCTGTCCATGGGATCCTCCAGGCAATAATACTGGAGTGGGTTGCCATGCTCTTCTCCAAGGGATCTTCCCAACCCAGGGATGGAACTCGCATCTCTTATGTCTCCTGCGTTGGCAGGTGGGTTCTTCACTGCTAGTACCACCAGGGAAGCCAAGGATGCTGGGCTACTGAATTTAAATATTGTAGGTGCCAAGATGGGACTGGGAGTCTCCCTCACTGGGTGGATCACAGAGGCGTGTAGGAGATTGCAGAGTTGGCATTGTCCCCTGGAAGCTGGGGCAGAGAACTGGTAGGGCCTGGGAGGCCTCTCAGACACTGGGATCTAATGGGCCTTAGAGTGGGCCCTTTGACTGTTAACACAAAATAAACAGGAGCCGCCGAGGCATGTTACAGCAGACAGCCAACCAACTTCATACTGGCCCTCCAACTCGGTCCCTACAACAGGACTGGGAGGCAGGTGTTACTGCCCCCATTTTACAGAGAAAGCAGCTGTCAGGAAGATGAAGCCTCTTGTTACATGCTCTGTACATTGCAAAGGAAGAGCTTTGAGTTCTGCTCCTTGATTCAAACCTCCTCCCAAACCAAACTCCACCTTCCCCACGTACAAGAATACAGGTGAAAAGGATCACGGAGGGCACATTTTTAGGTCAACTCTCTCTCGGTTTACAACACAGGGAATGGAGCTCCTCAACAGAAGTGACTGCTAAGGTCACAAGCCTTGCGCGTGACAAGCCGCACTCTCGGGAACCAAGCCTCAGTTTCTAGTTTCCAGTGCCGCCTCCTGCGGGGCGGGGAGGGGCCGCTGCCGGGCCCCTGGCGTTCCGGGGCGGTCCCTGGCGGCCGTGCATTCCACAGCCACCGCAGCGCCGCGAGCCGGGTGCGGAACTGCGCGTGCCGGTCACTCCTGCGCGCTCCCGCCTGCCCGCCGCGCCAAGCTACCCCGCACGTTGACTGTCGAGGTCCGAGGGCCAGGGCTCGCATCCCGCTGCTGGAGCCCGCCGTCCCCAGGACGCCTAGAGAAGCGTTCCAGCTGCCTCTGCCCCAGGAACTTTTCGCAGACCTGGCACGATCCAGCAGCGGCGGTGGCCGCGGGTTTTCAAAGCAGCTGCGCGGATCTCGGGTGAGTGGGGTCATCGGGTGCCGTTCGTGGGCTCCGGCTCCCGTGCTGCCTCTACCCAAGTGCCCTCCCAAATGCCTTCTTTTTATCTTTTTCCCCGCCCCTCCACCTCATTTCTCCCTCTTCACCACTTTAGCTTTTTCTTTTCTCCCTTTTGTCCGCCCTTAAGTTCCAGCGACCCTCGGCGCTCGATCTTGGGCCTCCCCGGAGGCCGGAGCTCGTATGGGTGGACTCCAGCCCTCCGGGAAGCCGGTCTGTTCCGCGTTTCCCTATCGCTGCCTGTGGTCGCGGGGCCGGGGGAAGGGGGAAGCGCGCCCCTTCCTCGAGCAGGTTCTGCCATCTCTTTGATCTCCGGGCGCGGCGGCGGAGCTCGGCTCCGCGGCCTGAGCACCCGCTGTGGGGCTGCGCTGGCAGTTTAGGTCTTTGCATCCCCCAGAGCAGCAGGCTCTCTGTCTTACTTTTCTCAAGAGCCCTGCGTAGAAGGCGCCCGGAGTTGGGAGTCAGGGGTGGTGGGTTCCAGCGTGGTCTGTTACTAGTTCTCTGTGAAATGGAGAAAATACCCTTTGCATTCCGGTCAAATGAGAAAGGGAAAGTTCAAAGTATCTTGGAGACAAAGAAGCCTTCCTCCCAAGCTCCCTCCTGCCTCTTTACTTAGGGGATGTCCCGACTGCCAGTTCACCCGCATCGCTGATCCCCCTCCACAAATTCCTTGAGGGTGGGCTCTGTCTCTCATCCTCAGCACCTGGCACAGGACGTCCAATACTGCCTTCTGAGTGAAAGAGAGATATAAATCGTAAAAACCTCATACAACCGTTAAGGTTGCTTTTTGTATTGAGTGGCCAGGCTGGGCTTTTACTCATGAGGCTCCACTCGTTTCTTCCTGACTCCCTTGTTCTAGTCTTGTTGGCACCTGGGGGTTCCTGTGTCACCCCTTTATCTACAGATTCCCTCAAAGCTCTAGGCTGCCTTGGTGACAGCCCCTCAGTCATTCAATTATGGAAGATCCCCTGATCATCTGCTAGGATCCGTGATGCCACTGTGCCGGGTAAATAGTCCATAGTCCCACAGGACTGTGAAGGGGTGATGTTAGGGGTTGGGGTGGGAAGAACTGTTTCCCTGGGAGTCAGGAAACACTCTGAGTACCTTGAGGGGTTTCCGTATCTGGACCTTGCCTTCGCCATCCCCATAAAATAAGGAAGTGGAGGTGGAAAAGTTGGGTGTCTGTGGTTAAATGGGATGTGCTTTGGGGTTATTCAGGCCACTCAGCAATCCTCTGAGCACATCTGAGACAGCCCAGCTGGGCTTCAGGACATCATGTACTTCTGTAGTAACACCCAGGAAAAGCCAAGGAGAAATGCTTCTCTACTCTAGCCGAGACCTCCAGTTTCCAGCGGTTTAGGGGTTATGAATCATGCCATGGGGGTTATAGGTCATGCCCCATCAAATCTTCCAAACACTTGACCACTCAGAGCGTCAGCACTGTGGGCTCCGCTGCAAAAAATGGTCTGGGGATTTCCCATTTCTGGCCCAGCCTGAGAGTCACTGGGCTGTGGTGAGGTGTTTGAGACAGAAAACCGATCAGGCGCTCTGGGGGCTGAGTATGGCTGGGTCACATATTGGGCTCTCGGGTGTCAGACTAAGGGGACAATAAGAGGTAAGTACAACCTTAGATGCTTTCCCAGCCATATTCTGACCCTTCTTTTAAGAAGAGTGCTTCTGCTTCTTGTCCATGAAAGCACCTCTTCTGTTTTTTCTTCTATGTTTTAATAGAAACCCAGAAAATATTTCCAAGGACAGAGGATCTTTATCTTGACTGTCTTACACTGTCGCTATTGGCAGTGGTATCAAAGACAGGCACATGTCCTCCCACTCACAGTTTATAAGAGTAAACACTAGTATTACCACACCCTGCTGATTCCTGCCTCGTTGGCCAGGTAAGCTAAATAATGTAACAATAATCATATTTGTTGTTGTTTAGTTGCTAAGTTGTGTCCGACTCTTTTGTGACCCCATGGACTGTAGCCCGCCAGGCTCCTCTGTCCACAGGATTTCCTGGGCAAGAATACTGGAGTGGGTTACCATTTCCTTCTCAGAGGATCTTCCTGATCCAGGGATCAAACATGCATCTCCTGCATTGGCAGCAGATTCTTTACCACTGAGCCACCTGACATTTACTGAGCGCTTGCTATTAGCCAGGTATTACTCTAAGCATTTTACACCTATTAACTCATTTAGTCTTTACCATAATCCCATGAGGTAGGGATCATCATTGCATCCATTTTATAGATGAGGAAACTGGGGTCCAGAGAGTAGCTTACACATATCACACAGGAAGTAAGTGGCAGAGCTGCAATTTGAACCCAGGCAGTTTGGCTTTGGGACCTATGCTCTGAATCTTGTTGCAATTGAGGGGATCTAGGTTCAGATCTTGCCTCTGTCAATTACTTACAGGGTGACCTGGGGGGAGTTAATTGAGAATTTGGCAGCCTCTGGGCCAGTGAATCACGAGGGCCCTTGGAATCAGTTCAGCTCACTCACTGACAGTGAACCTCAAGTGAGAGTGATGTACATCTGGTGTAAAGATTAAGAGTTAGGGAACCAGGAAGGGTAACAGGTCAGAATTATAACTTCTTGGAATATCAGAAAGCAGCAAAACAGATCCAGTGACTAAATTGTGTACTTCAAACTGCTTAGTTATGTATACATACAGCTTCGTTATTTTGGTGATTTGGATCCTGGTGGGCTAATTGGGCATGTGAATTGCTGATGACCCACTGCATAGGATAGGATAGGGAAAGGGACATGGAGGAGGGAGACAAAAAGACAGAGAAGACAGCTGGGCTCCCCAGATCAGTTGCAATTAAGATGACACGTCTGGCACACACCTTTCCTCCTAACTCCCTGCCTCAGGCTGACACTGAGACTCAGGACTTTTCAACAAACATCTATAGGGAGGGAAGATCCTTAACTTGGTGCTCTGGCCTCTGTTGAGGAGCTGTGAAGCATCTGTCTAGCCCTCCCAGACTTCCTGCTTCCTTCTTCTTGGTCAGAGAAGTAACAGGAGGGCAAAACAGGAGACTTTTCTCTTTGAGTGCCATGGTGGCATCTTAGGGAACATCTTGGGGCTGTTTAAAGATTCATCTTTTTCCCTCACTCTTTTCTAGGTTTTCTTGAATGGTTTTCAACCCAACACCATCCTGACTGGGGCAGGGCTCTAGGGGCAGCAGAGTCAGTCTTTGAGAGCTGGCCCTTTAGAGGTCACCTTGTCCATCCTCTCCTATTGACCTGCAGGAAACTGAAGCTCAGTTTGAAAGAGGAAAATACTCAGGATTGCACCCTGAATTCATTTTCTAATGCTGTAACAAATCACCACAAATGTAATGGCTTCAAATATATTGTAATACAGTCCTAGCAATCATAGGTCTAATATGGGTCTCCTTAGAGTAAATCAAGGCATCTTCAGCTTGCGTTTCTCTCTGGAGCTTTGAGGGGACTTGGTCCCCTGTTTATTTGAGTTGTTGGTAGAACTCAGTTCTGTGGTTGTAAGACCAAGGTCACTGTTTTCTTGCTGGCTGCAAGCTGAGGGACATTCCCTGCTTCTCAGGCCACTGCATTGCTTGGTTCATAGCCCCCTTTTTTCATCTTCAAAGTAAGCAACAGTGAGTCAGATCCTTTTCCTATCGTATTTCTCCCACTCTTCTGCCTTCCTTTTCACTTTTAAGGATGCATGTGAGTAGATTGGGTTCACCTAGATAATCAGGCTAATCTACCCATCTCAAAGTCCTTAACTTTAATCACATCTGTAAAGTCCCTTTGCCTGTTCTCTTGGCTCCTCCCTCAGAGTCATGCTTCCTTGTTCATAGTCAAGGTTTTGAGGACCAGGACTTGGACATCTCTGTAGGGTCGTCTTTCTGCCTACCATATACAGCGAGGCCCACTTTAGGAGAGTGACTTGTTTTGGATCACACATCTTGGCAGGAGATTTCCACCACTGTGGTGCACTTGCCGCTCTATCAGTGACACCCCTCTTCCCCCCAGCCCCCCAACAGTCCACCTCATGGAGCATCTCCTTTGTCAGCCCAGCAGCAGCAGGCACTTAGTCAGTGGCAAATAGAAATGATGGACGGTGGGGGCTTAAACAGGATATTGTGGATTTGGGCCTGGGTTTCTCCTCTGCTGGCTCCCTGCTGATTTCTAAGACTCTGTGAGTGGCTGGGTCAGATGGTACGTGCAGTCTTGAATAGCTCTGGCATGATTTCTGATGTCTTTGAAATATCTTGGTGTTTTTCCATTTTTCCAGCCACAGAAGAGCAGATAGAAACTCAGGCAGGGAACAGTCTTTATACTGTTAAGAATTTTGAATGCGATAGAGGCCAATTGGGGTAAAATGAGAACAGAGTTCTCCCTAGAGACCTGGGGTCATTGGAGAAAGTCCTCTGGTTTGATTTGTTTCACATTTTTGATACTTGTGTGTCCTGCCCATTCCTTCCTCTGGCCCCTTTCTTTGGAACAAAGGTCCCTGGTGAAATGGACTCCTTGCTGAGTTGGTAAATGCTTGAGGCTAACTATAACACTTGTTTCCAAGAGTAAATATGAGTCTGGGATGGCCATTTCACACTGGACTTGGCATGAGGAATCCCCTCCCCTTTTATCAGGCTCCCTGTCCTCTTTAGAGAACAGTGAGAGAAAACTCCATATTCTGGGCAGCAACTCCCCAACCCCTACACCTACATCAATGCCCAGCCCCTGAGCACAAGGAACTGAAACTTGAACCACCAGCCCAAGCAAGTCAGGAAGAGGGAAGTCTAGAGGATATTATTCAGAAAGGCCAGTGCTTGTTCGTCTAGTACATACAGGCTAAACTGGGAAAGAAAGAGGCCCCATAATCCTTTGGAAATGTACAGAGATCAAATCAGAGGGTGTCATTTCATTTAAAAAAATAACGTTCTGACTTTAAGGTCATTGAACAAGGGTAAGCATCCTTTCTGGACCTCCCTCACTAAGTTCCAGGAGTTAAGTCAAGTCTAATGTTCCCCAGCCTGTCCATATTTATTTGTCAGTCTTATATTCATCGGACACTTACTGTGTGCTAGGGCCTGTGATAGGTGCTGAGGGAACAGCAGTGAACAAGAGACTTCTCTCTTCTTTGTATTTGCTTCTTCTCTCTTTGTATTTGCATTTGAGTCAGCAAAGATGGCCAATAAAAACAAAGAAGCAAACAGGCTAATCTAAGGCTGTGAAAAGTGTGTGAAGAAAATAAAACAAGGTATGAGACAGAGAACGGCTGGTGGATGAAGGTGGTAATTTAATAGGGTCTGGAAAGGCTTTTTCAAAGATGTAACGTTTAAAAGTTGAGGTCGTGGTCATTGAGACACTGCATGTTGAAGGGAAGATCTAAGACGATCTAGTGCATTCTAGGAAGAGCGAACAGCAAACAAAAAGGTCTTGAAATCGGACCAGACCTCGGGATATAAGTCACTAGGTAGCCCAGCTACTGGGTGGCCAGTGGGATCCCTTCCTGGTATGTGAGTTGCCTTCTCTGTCTGGCCTAAATGCTTCATTCTTTTCTGACAATCTCACCAGCTCTTTCTGAGGGTGGAGCCTCAGGAAGAGGTGCTGTGGACTAGGCCATGCAGGTAACCCCCCTAGTCTACTGTCCTGTGAACCATGACCTTGTTGTTCACATTCTGCAAGATGCTTCAGGAGATTCCTCCAGCATCAGTGACTCAGAGCTGGTTCTAGCTGCCTCCTCTGTGGCCTCCATGTCTAGTGGAAAGCACTGGGTGCTCAGTCACACCTTCAGGAAGTCACCTGCCTTTATCTGCCTTTTCTCCCACTGTGGCATAATTAAGCTTGAAGCAGCAGGAAGTCACTTCTTTTATTGCATTCTTCCTTGGAGAACTCCTTGGTGGTAAAACCGGTTGGATAGCCATTGGCAGTCTCTCAAAAGTTAACTGTTAGCCGCAGTTCAGGTGTGGAGAGTGTGCATTTCCAGTGGAAGGTTAAAGATGGGAAGACATCAAAGGCTGTTTGTTTATGAAACGATCACTGCAGTTTCTTGATCAGATACAGAGCAGTCATGGCACCTAAACTAAGTGGTAGGGGCCACTGAACTTTGTGTGACTTTAAGAGCTGTGGTTGCTAGCTCAGTTTAACATTTATGACGCCCTTACTGGTGGCTCAGACAGTAAACAATCTGCCTATAATAGGGGAGACCTGGGTTCGATCCCTGGGTTGGGAAGATCCCCTGGAGGACATGGCAACCCACTCCAGTATTCTTGCCTGAAGAACCTCAGGGACAGAGGAGCCTGGCGGGCTACAATACATGGGGTTGCAAAGAGTCGGACACAACTGAGCACACACACACACACTACTGTGCACCAAGGCACTGTCCAGGCAAGTGCTTTGTATGCATTAGCTTGCTCAACTTCCATGGCGTCCCCATGAAGTTACTATTATTAGTTAATATTACTCCTGTTTTTACAAATGAAACTGGGACTTTTAAAGGTTAGGTTTCCTGCCAAAGCCACTAGCACTACATATGCTCCCGATATACCAAGTAACTCATCAGCTCTGGGCTTTGTTGATGATGGTTTTCTACTAATCCTGCCTTTCTCCTCATTTCTTTCTTTTGAACTCCTGCATATCTTCAAAGTCCATGTCAAAACCCCCCCTTTTGGGTGAAGTCTTCTATTTTACATAGACAAAAACAAAGGCATGAGAATTAATATTTTTTTGAGCGTCTATTATTTTCCAGGACTCCACACATATTATCTCCTATTATCCTCACAGTAGGATGTTGCAGTGCAATGCTTCTAATGTCCTTATTTGGAAGATAAGACCAAGGTTTAGAGATTTTAAATAACTAGCCCAAAGTCACACTTCTATGGGTGAAAAACAGAATTCAAATCAAGTACTCTTTCTGCTTTTTTTCCTGTTCGGAGATGGCATATGGTTTGTACCTTCAGTCCACTTCTCTGCCTTTTATTGCAATTTGTGATTGTAATTAATGTCTTTTCCTCCAGAAGAGTGTGAGCTTCTTAAGGAAAAACACCGTATTTATCTCCACACCCACTCCCCAGTGTTAATCACAGTGCCATGAATGTTTATTGAATTAGACTGAATTGCTACTCTACTAGTTTCATACTTGGACTGGAAAAATAGGTCAGATTAACCAATACTGCTGCTGGTTGATTTAAAAAACATCATTAATATGGATTAAACATCTATCAGCTTCTGTAGCATCTCAGATGATAAATAATCTGCCTGCAAGGCAGGAGATTCGGGTTCGATTCCTGGGTCGGGAAGATCCCCTGGAGAAGGGAATGGCAACCCACTCCAGTATTCTTGCCTGGAAAATTCCATGGACAGAGGAACCTAGCAGGCTACAGTCCATGGGACTGCAAAGAGTCAGACATGACTGAGCAACTAACACTTTTACTTTCAAGCATCTATCATTTTTGTTGATAAAGTGAAGTACAGTCCAAGTTAGGGATGTTACCAAACTCTAGCCAAAGTGGGTGAATATTTGCTTAGGCCAGAGAGTCCTTATAGTCAGGGATTATTAATCAAAGGATGAACATTTGTAGAGTGCTTACTGTTTGTCAGAACACTACTAAGTACTATATGCAATTATCTCATGGAATTCTCCTTAACCCTATAAGGCAGACTATTATTTTCCCATTTTTGTTTTCAGCTGAGTAAATGGAATCATTAGGAAGTTTAAGTAACTTATTCAGGGCAGGTCAGCTGGAAAGTGGTAAATCTCTTGGATTTAAAACAGCCACATTTAAATCCAAGCCAACGGGCCTCCTGTCTGGCCTTTTAACACTACTCTGTAGTCTGAAATATTTCCCTGCTGTTTCCAAGTATTCTCTGTACTTCTAAGAGCTTCCATCACCTTACCAGATTACAGTAGTTTGAGAATTTGTTGATTTAAGAAATGTTTATTCAGTACATATACCACTGAGCAGAGAGGGAAGGCATTCTGTGAGAACTGTGTTGGGTAAAATCAGTGCTGGGGAAAAATTGGAATCCAGGCAAAGTCTATTCCTCTCCCAGTTTTCAACTTCTATGCATGCTGGCTTTCCCCTCCAGTTTGGGGAAATCTCTCATTACAAGCAGGATTCTGGTGTCTCCCTCTCTTCTCTGATGTTCTTACCCATGGTGAGGAGTAAATAAGTTACAAGTTTTAGCCTTACCTTCTTCACCGGGTTGATTTGTATTTGGACCTTAAGTCAAAGAGATGAAATACAAAGGGTGGAATTATATCCATGAGTGATTCTGACAGGACCCTGCTTTGCTTTTTGGGGATGTGTCTGTGTGTTCCTGGAAAACTTTCTCACTGCCTCACCTTTGAGGAAGTTGCTTAGGATTCTGAGCCTAAAGTTTCCCTTAGGTATTTACACAGTAAAAAGGTATAGTCAAGAAGCCCGAGGAAAACAGTATGGAGATTTCTCAGAAAACTAAAAATAGAATTACTGTATGATTTAGCAGTCCCACTCCTGGGCATATATCTGGACAAAACTTTAATCCAAAATGATACATGCACCCCTATGTTCATAGCAGCACTATTCACAATAGCTGAGACATGGAAACAACCTAAATTTCCATTGACAGATAAGTGGTAAGATGTGGTGAGTAAAGTATGAAAGTCGCTCGGTCATGTCTGACTCTTTGTGACCCCATGGACTATACAGTCCATGGAATTCTCCAGGCCAGAGTACTGGAGTGGGTAGCCTTTCCCTTCTCCAGGGGATCTTCCCAACCCAGGTATCGAACCCAGGTCTCCCTCATTGCAGGCAGATTCTTTACCAGCTGAGCCACAAGGGAAGCCCAAAGATATGGTACATATATATAATGGAATACTACTTAGCCATAAAGAAGAATGAAATAATGCCATTTGCAGCAACACAGATGCAACTAGAGATTATCATACTAAGTGGAGTAATTCAGAAAGAGAAAGACAAATACCATATGATATCACTTATATGTGAAATCTAAAATATGACACAAATGAACCTGCCTGTGAAACACAGGCAGACCACAAACATAGAGATCAGACTTGTGGTTGCCAAGGGAGCGGAAGTTGGGGGAGGGACGGAGTGGGAGGTTGGGGTTAGCAGATGTAAGCTATTGTGTGTAGAATGGATAAACACCAAGGTCCTACTGTGTAGCACAGAGAACTATATTCACTATCCTATGAATAACCATAATGGAAAAGAATATGAGAAAGAACATATATGTATATCTTGAATCACTTTGCTATACAGCAGGAAAACTATATTTCAATAAAAAACAATGAAGCCTGGCTGGCTCTCTTTCTTTATATTAATTTATTCTCTATCACTGCTTACTCCAACCTGATGCCCCACTGTCTTCTTTTGACTCCCATCTGAAATGGGATAGTGATGGAGTTGAAAAAGAGCACTGCAAATCTGGAGGCCCGAGATGTCCCCTGAGTCCTGCCATTAAATTGCTTTGGTGACCTTGGGTAAGTCATGTCCTTCATCTGTAAAATGGAAGGTAGACTAAAGTAGATAGTCTCTAAATCCTGTGTAGATTTCTAGAATATCATTGGTTTGTAGAAGTTCCATCTCCACAGAACAAACCCAGTAGGATGTAATATTGCTGTATTCGTTTTCTATTGCTGCCATAACAAATTACCACACTTTAGTGGCTTAACACATACCTACATAATCTTAGTTTCCTTGAGTCAGAAGTCCAAATACAGTTTAGCTGGGTCCTTACAGAGATGCAGTCAAGATGTCAGCCAGGCTGCCCTGTCATCTGGGGGACCCAATAGGAAAGAATCTGCCTGCAAGCTCTTTCAGGCTGTTGGTAGATTTGTTTCTTGCACCTCAAGGCCAGCAGAAAAGTATTGTTGACCTAGGGAAGGTTTCAGCCTTCTTTTAGATTTCCACCTTATTAAGTCAGACCTACCCAAGGTCATCTTTCTGGTTACTTTAAAGCCAGAAGTTCTGGAACCTTAATTACACCTGCAAAATCCCTCACCCCTGTTATGTGACCTAACCTAATCACAGGGTAACTCCAGGGAGCAGATTGTGGGAGCCATCTTAGAATTCGGCTTCCTGCCATTGTTTCACAGAAATAGCCTGTTTGCAGTTATAACCGGAGCATATTCTTTCCTGAGGGACTTCCCTGGTGACTCAGACGGTAAAGCATCTGCCTACGATGCGGGAGACCCAGGTTCAATCCCTGGGTGGGGAAGATCTCCTGGAGAAGGAAATGGCAACCCCCTCCAGTATTCTTGCCTGGAGAATCCCATAGACAGTCCATGGGGGTCGCAAAGAGTCGGACACAACTTCACTTTCACTTTATTCTTTCCTGAATCAGGTCAAATGACTTAGCATATGAAATCCGTTCTAAAACTTACTTGTTCCTACACTAAAACTACCCTGCTTTGAACTTACTTTTGGAACATAATATATTATGCTTCCCTTTATTCTTATATAATTACCCTCCTAGTTATTTTCTTCCAATACTGTTCATGAATATATAGTTACACATTGTTGTTGTGTTAGTCTCTCAGTCATGTCCAACTGTTTGCAACTCCATGGACTGTAGCCTGTCAGGCTCCTCTGTCTATGGGATTCTCCAGGCAAGAATATTGGAGTTGGTTGGCATTCCTTTCTCCAGGGGGTCTTCCTGACCCAGGATTCAAACCCAGGTCTCCTGCATTGTAGACAGATTCTTTATCATATGAGCTATTGAGGAAATAATTTACATTTAACTTATTTTAAATTAGTTTTTCTATTTGAAATCATATATTGTAAAAAAAAATATTAATGTTAGGGAGTCATCTTTGTCCTTAGGTGATTCTTAAAATTATTTTGTTCCATCAATATTTGAGAGAGATGTATTGAACTCCCCCACCATAATTGTAAATTTTTCTTTCTTCTCATAATTCTGAGATTAGGTATATAAAAATTAAAAATCATTCAATCTTTTGGTATCTCTGGTTATACTTTTTACTTAAATGTCTACTTTGTTCAATGGTAAAACAGCTCTACTAGCTTACAGAATTCATGACAGATGGTATTTCTTTTGTTTCCAATTACTTTCAATATTTCTGAACCCCCATGTATCTCTTGTAAAAAGTATCTACATTTTTATGTACTCTGATAGTTTTTGTTAGTTTTGGTTTAAGTCTACTGTTCTTTATACACTTTCTATTTGTGTCACATGTTCTATTTTCCTCCCCTCTTTCCCTTGTTTTCTCTGGAAATTATGTATCTATTTATTACTTTTAAATGGCTACCCTAGAGATTACAATATACATCCTTAATTTCACAAAGTTCAATGTTATTGGTTATTTTGCCCTTTCCCAGAAAATAAGAAGCCTTTGATTCTTTCCCCTTATTTATTATTATTGAATATTTAAATTTTATATTTTATCTGAAATTTTATTTCATCTTAATTCTCAGTTATTTTTGTTCACTTTAAAAGAAATCATTGTTTTCTAGATTCCATTGTTTCTGATGAGATGTTAGCTATCAGTCTAAGTGGTTTTCACTTGAATATAATCTTTTTTCTCTTTGCCTTTGATTTTCAGCAGATTTACTATGATGCACCTAACTATGGATTTCACATGATCTAGCTAGAACTTTATAGGGCTTCTTGAGTTTGTGAATTCATATCTTTCATCAGCTTTGAAAAATTCTATTTCTTACTGTAATTTTTTTCTTCCCCATTCTGTCTTCTCTCTTTCTAGACTCCAATTACATGGATGTTGTATTGTGTCACTGTTTCCTCTATACCCCTCACCCAGTTTATTTTTCATCCTTTTATTTCCCTGCATCATTATATTTTTTTCCCTCTGATCCTCCAGTTCACTAATTCTTTTTTCAGCTATGTTTCATCTGCTGTTAAGCCCATTCACTGAATTTTTATTTTCAATTATTGTATTCTTCAGTTCTAGAATTTCTATTTGGCTCTTTTAAAAAATGTTGTGTTCTTTCTTACAGTTTTCAGTTCTCTTTCAAAATTCTCAATCTTGTTTTATTTTCTCCTCAAACATATTAATCAAAGTTACTTAAAATGTGTGTGTCTGACAACTCCAATATCTGGAGCCCCTGTAAGTCTTTTTCTATTGTCTGTTGTTTCTGATGTTTCCATTCTAGTCATTTGTCTTTTTTCACTGCTACTTAGTTTTATTTATGATTGGACATTATATTTGAATAAGAAATTTGAATAAAAGTTTGAATTGTGCTGTTATCTCCTCTACAGTGGATATAAGTTTGCTTTTGCCAGACACCTGGAGGTACTAGCAATCTAGAACAAGCTTAATTCAGTTTCAAGGACTGTGAAGATTCAAAGCTGGGTTGCAGACTTGGGGATTAGTATACTTCTTGTTCACTCTTGCACTAAGAGTGCTCTTTGAAGTCCAAACCCAAAATGCACAGGTTTTACTCTCTCTGTGTGGGCAGTCTTATATTCCTGAGTCTGTCAGAAACACTGTTAGTCTCCGACCTTCACTAAGGGAGATGCTGCTTCAAATACCAGGGTTACTTCCCTGGATTTGTCTTCTCCTAGATCTTAGCCTGGTAATTCTTCATTATTTTGCTATTTCTTAGTGCCTTTGAGCAGATTTTTTTGGGGTCTAATTTTTCTAGTTGTTCTCAGTAAGAAAACAGGTCAAAATTATCTAGCTTTACATTACCAGAAATGAAAATCCTGATCTCTACAGATTTTGTCTCTTTTTCTTTTTTATAATTGAGGTATAAATTGGCATATAACAATATATCAACTTCAGGTGTACAACATAAATGATTCACAATGTGTATATGCCATAAAATATTCACAATAACTCTAGTTACCATCTGTTACCATACAAAGTTACAAAATACTTTTTGTGATGAGAACTTTTAAGATTTACTCTCATCACTTTTCAAATATGCAATACAATATTCTTGACTATGGTTACCATGCTGCCTATTTTTTAATCAATTTTTTTGTTGAGTTGTATGAGTTCTTTATATATTTTGATTATTGACCCCTTGTCAGATATATGCTTTGCATATATCTTCTCCCATTTAATAGGTTGCCTTTTTATTTTGCTGATAGTGTCCTTTGCTGTGCAGAAGATTTTTGGTTTAATGTAGTCCCACTAATTTATTTTTACTTTTGTTGCTCTTGCCTTTGGAGTCAGATCCAAAGAATCCTTGCCAAGACCAGTGCCAAGGAGTTTACTGTCTGTGCTTTCTTCTAGTTTTATGGTTTCAGGTCTTTAATCTACTCTGAACTAATTTTTATATATGGTGTAAGATACTAGTCTTGATTATTTTGCATGTGGCTGTCTAATTTTCCCAATGCCACTTGTAAAAGAGACTATCCTTTCCTTATTGTATATTCTTGCCCCCTTTGTAGTAAATTAATTGACTACACATGTGTGGGGTTATTTCTGGGCTCTCTACTCTGTTCTAGTGATGTGTGTGTTTGTTTTTATGTCACTACTATTTTTGCAGGTGTGATTACTGTGATTTGGGGGCTTCCCTGGTGGCTCAGACAGTAAAGAGTCTGCCTGCAATGCAGGAGAGCCAGGTTCGATCCCTGGGTGGGGAAGATCCCCTGGAGAAGGAAATGGCAACCCACTCCAGTATTCTTGCCTGGAGAATCCCATGGACAGAGGAGCCTGGTGGGCCCCATGGGCCCTAGACAGAGTTACAAGTTCTGGTAGTGCTCAACCAAAAACTACATTGCTCTATCAGAGAGGTGAAAGTTACCTGTAGGGGAAGGGAGTCTCACAGTTGAAAGATAGATAGCACAGATGAGACACTTTGAATTCAGTTATTCTAATACTTCTGACTTGTAGAAATTTTTAATTTATGAAATGTGTGTATATATATATATATATATATGTGTGTATAAATATATATATACATATAGTTGGCACTAGAAGATTTGCCAGATGATAGAATTGACTGGAAGGATTATTATTATCTTGTAAACAAATTTTCAATTGCTTAAGAAAAATAGTCCCAAAAGTAAAACTTGATGTTTCAGAATCAGGCAGCAGGGAACCTGCACTTTCCTTCCTGATGCTGCTGCTGCTGCTAAGTCACGTCAGTCGTGTCCGACTCTGTGTGACCCCATAGACGGCAGCCCACGAGGCTCCCCTATCCCTGGGATTCTCCAGGCAAGAACACTGGAGTGGGTTGCCATTTCCTTCTCCAATGCATGAAAGTGAAAAGTGAAAATGAAGTCGCTCAGTCGTGTCCGACTCTTAGCGATCCCATGGACTGTAGACTACCAGGCTCCTCCGTCCATGGAATTTCCCAGGCAAGAGTACTGGAGTGGAGTGCCATTGCCTTCTCCACACTTTCCTTCCTAGTTTGGACCAAATAGACTACTTGATGGATGGGATGAATAGTCTACCTTTGGAGAAGGTACAATATTTTCCTCCTTTGAAGGAATTACAATTTTTTACTCTTACACTTAGTCTTGTTAGTAGATACAAAATAGTCCTTTTGAGTTTCTTAACTTTTCCACTGAATTGTCTAAACCACTTAAGTTTGTGGTCTAAAGTGGAGCCAGGGTGTCTCCAGGTCACAGGGCAGGTGGTGTAGGGCCTGGAAGGCACTCATGGTTGACAATGCAGTAGCTTCTTTATCTGTTCAGGGTGACTTTAACATAGTCTTTTAAACAAACATATTGAATATATGTTAAAGTTCATCTTTCATTAATGCGGTAAATAGCAGATAAAGTATGCCAGTTTGAATTAACAAGAATTTAGGCCTGACTGCTGTTTTGTCTCCTATGGTCATAAAAACCTTGTATTTTTAATCAATGATAAGGTTAAGTTTATGACATGAATGGTTTGTGTCATATCCTCTGACATGACCTATTAATCAGAAATCACAAGTAATATATCTGCAAAGCAAACAATGAGCTTGTTGATCTATAGTTACTCATTAGATGTATCAAGAAACAGTTTTACATCCTCACAAGGCGCCAGGCACCCAGATGCCAGAGGTCAAACAGAAGTCAGCTAGCAGCAGCTTAGCTGAGTCCTGCTTTTTCTCAAGTAAAATTTTCTAGCATACCATTAATAGTGCTGAACATAGGGTTTGTGTAGTTCCTATCTTGGGGAAAAGTTTTTTTCTTTCACAGTGGGGAGAGGGGGAAGTGACTGGAGTCTCTGTTATGTGGGAGGGAACAGGTCATCAGAGAACACTGGGGGGACTGAGAGGATTGAGACGGAGCTGGAGCTCCCAGTGCCCTCTGACACGTGGCCACGCGTACGTCCAGCCTTAGCGCCCCGGGACAGTGGCTCCAGAAGGGTCCTCGGTGAACACTACAGCCTGTGGCTTTCAGTCTGTGTTTTGAGAAGCCCAAGGGGTCGAGAATCAGCTAAACCGGTCTGCTGTACCAAGTCAGCAGGCTGGGCTAAGGGGACACCAGAAAAATAGCTGGGAAAAATTACGTCCCCGGATTTTTTCAGTTACAAGAAAAAAATGACTACAATTTCATCACAACATGTACATTTTGGTGTTACGGTTTAGTATTGCTTTTAGTTTGAATTGTATATATGAAGGGGGTGGGCACCCTACTGTCTAGTGTTTAATGTCTGCTCTAAGGATATTTATTCAGCTCTGCTGATGCGATAGGACCCCCAAGCCACTCTCTCTGGGCCCTCCCCAGCAATCTAGAGCAGCTCCAATTTTATCTGTTTTTGTGATTGGGTTTTAAACAATTTCATGTGTGAGAAAGTAATAGTGGTATAGTCTGGAATACAGATTACAGACTAGAGTTTCTTTTATTCATCTATTTGTTCTGATTTGTTTCAGTTAGGGTCAGTGATCTGATCAGGTTTGGGTCTTTGAGTGATTATTCTGGAAGGGGGTGGGCTTGAAGTCGAGGGAAAACTTCAGGACCTCAGTTTTGCCACCTAGGAAACAAGGCTGATGCTAGCTTCAGTGGGTTTTGGTTGTGGATCAGCCTTGGAGCTCAAGTTCCTGTAAATGACAGGTTTTCCTTATGAAAATCAGCCAGGGAGATTATGTGTTCCTGGCATTTGGTGTTTCAGAGACTGTTTGATGTTAATGGGTTTACCGGAAAGGGCTTTTGTGGGGATCTTTTGGCCCAAAGCAAGCTAGCTATTGATGTAATCAGGAGACCACAATGGACGATTTCCCCCACCCCCTCTCTCTTCAACTATGTGCTTCTCCTGTGACTCACGCTTCAGTACCTTAGACCTGGGAGAAAGTGACCTTGTTTCTGAGGCTGAGGCAGGGCCGGCCTGTGCCTCTTCCTCCCAGGCCTCATAATCCCCCTGCCTGATAATCTGGTGGCCTGGAGAGCCTTGCCAGAGGCTTCTCCTCCATCCTAGAACTTGCCCACATCTGTCCAGACTGAGTACAGAGGAATCAGTTTTGACAACATGGAGCTAGGAAGAGTTGTAGAAGCCATAGAGATCATCTCATCCAGGGGTTTCCAAAACCCAGCTGCACATTCAAATCACCTGGGAAACATGGGAACAAGACCCCTCTGGAGTCTAATTCAATTCATCTGTAATGGGACCTTGAATCGACATTTTTTTAAACTGTCCTAAGGTGCTTTTCACTTAGCATGGTTTATGGCATTTAGTGACTTGGAACAATGCATGGTGTGTAGCAAGCACTATATATTTGTTAAATAAATGAATGAAAATTGTTGCACAGTAGCCCATTATATGGATATACTCTACTATATATGGCTACTTCTGTTGTGTTGGTTTCTATAGCAAACGGTGCAGAAACAAACTTCCTGGTATGCATGTCTTGGAGGCTGTACCTTGGGTAGAGTAATCAGTAAACTTACTTAACGCAACCACAGTAGGCATGGGGCCAAAAAGCATTAAAAAGGAAAGGTTATTGATGCAAGTAGAAGCAGGAAATAGGACTGAAATTGGGAATTTTGCCCAGGACCTTGAATCACAGAGTTATAGACCTTTTAGATCTAGAAGGAACCATAGGAGATTGTTCTAGCCTGTGACTTCTGGGCAGGGAATGTATCGCACCTGTGGCTTCCAGGTTGCATACTTACCTGGGGAGCCAAAGGGAACTCACTGGAAAAGTGTGTGTCTGGGGGCTGTGGGATCTTTAAAATTTTTGACAGGAATATTGACATTTGACACCTCTCAGACATTGTGCCAACTACTAGCTCAAGACAGTTTACAGTTTGACATTAATCATACTTCATTCCTTTTGGTGGTGCTACATTTTGTGATGCTGAGTCTTCGGCGGTTGCTATGATATAGCAAGCACTGCGCACACATGAACGTGGCAGAGGAAGTGAGCATGGCCCCGTCCCATCTGACTCCAAAGCTCAAGGAGTTGTGCAGTGCCTCACAGCTGCACACATGTTGTTAGGAAGTAACTGGCGAAGAATGAAATACAGACTTTTTTCTTTCAATTTGTGTGTGTTACTTTTTTCAAACAGCCATGCATTTGTTAGGACATAAATGCTTAGTAAATTGAACCTAACTACATAATAAATGGAACTGCTAGGTATTTCTTTTGGCTTGCAGTGCTGTGAGAAAATTACTGACACAAAGGATGCTGTGAATCAAAAAGTTTGGGGACAACTGATTTATGTCTTTAGCTGCCAGTGAGAGAAACAAAACTGACACTGGCTTCAGCAAAACCAGAGTATTATTCGCGTATATACCTGGGATGTCCAGGGTTGCAGATGGTGTCAGATTGGCTGGGTTGGGATGCTCACCTGAGGCTGTCAAGGCTCCACTTCTCTTTCCATGTCTAGGACAGCTCTTACGTGGGCGAGATAGCCCCATGCCCATCCTTTCCAGACTCACATCCTTTCATCTTAGCAATCCCAACAGAAAGAATCCTCTTTCTCAACAGTTTGTGCATAAAAGTCCCAGGAGGACTTTGGTTGACCTAGCCCGAGTTATTTGCCTATCCCTGAATAGAGGCTTTGGAGATTTGTAATGGCCAAGCTTAGGTCACAATCTTTCCCTGTGCTCAGGTGCGTGCCTTAACTAAACCACACAGAAAAGGTAGGTTCTCCAGAAAAGAGGAGGTTCTGTTACCAGAAGAGGAGAAGGGGTGCAGGACCAAAAGCAATGAATTTTTTTCCACCTTACAGATGAGGGAATGTTGGTATGATAGTTTAATAGTTCAACATGGAGGCTCTGGAGTCCTACTCATCTGGCTTTGCTTCCTTGGGGAAATTAACTACATCTACACCTTTTAAGGCTTCAGTGTCTTCATCTCTAAAGTGGAAATAACTGAAGATAAAGGCCAAGAAATAAAAAAAGCACGACAATAATAATCCCTACCTCAGAGGGTTGGTGGTTGAAGGAAGGACTGAGTTAATACACATAAAGTGCTAAGCCTAGGGCCTGGCATATAGGAAGCCCACAGTAAATGAGACTGTTATTATTATTAATCAGGCAACATCAATAAGTACACAGCAGCTGGTAGGTGACCTACCTTCTGACTCCTAGAGCAGGTTTCTATCCGACTAGAGGCAGGGAGAAGGTACAGAACGGTGATTTGCTCTTTCCTGTTTGTTGCAGAGTGAAGCAGCATGGAAGCCACCAGCCAGATCCCCATGGAAGTTGTGCTCCCCAAGCACATCCTGGACATCTGGGTCATTGTCCTCATCATCCTGGCCACCATTGTCATCATGACCTCCTTGCTGCTGTGCCCGGCCACTGCGGTCATCATCTATCGCATGCGATCCCATCCCGTCCTGAATGGGGCCGTCTGAGAACCTCCCAGGAGGGCGGGTGAGGGATGACAGCGTCCTGGCCCCCAGCATCTTCCCCTTTCCCAGAAAAGCAGCCGGGGGACTTTGCGGTGTGGACTCTGGAGCTCGATATGTGAGGAGACCTGAGTTCTGGCTTTGATTTTGCCACTGGCCAGTGGTGTGAGTTCAGTCCAGGGACCTAATTCCATGAGTTCCAGGTTCCATATGTTCCAAACAGGGATTACACTCCCTGCCGTCCTACCTCATGGGGTTGTGAGAACCCATGACCTGGTGGAGGTTAAAGCTTGTTAGTGAGCAGATTCACAGGTGTTAACTGTTGGATGTTGATAAGCTTTGAAGAACCACAGACCCTTATTACTGATGAGAGCCTTCAAGGTGGTGAGGGAGACACTGGGGCGGAGCAGCCTTGCCAGTGACCCTCAGGTGAAATGAAGCAAAAGCACCCGTCCTCATTCCGAGGGACCAACAGCATGTGGCTCAATGTTATTTTCTTTGAGGTGCCACTTCCTCGAGTTTTCTCATTTGGGAGGGAATTAAATGTGGCAGGGGGAGGGAGATGGGTGGATCTTCCCAGGACACCAGAAGCTCTGCCCCTGTGCAATCTGGAGGGGGCTTGACCATTTTTTGGCAATGACAAGGGATCTGGGGTGATGGACTTCATTCTGCATTAGAGTCCCAAAGCTTTGACACTCAAGCAGTGTTGGCAAATGCAGAGTGGCTGAGTTCCCTGGCCAGCTTTCAGGATCTCAGCCCCTATCCCCTGTGAGCCCCTCTGCCCCAGCTCCTGCATAACACATACTCACTTCATTCCCTCCCACCAACACTACAACCATTCCAAGGTATAGACTTATATTTTAAGAGATGTTCCCAGGAATTTGAAACTAACTCAAACAGCAATGTTTATTTTTAATGCTATGATTTATATTTATATGTATAGAGAGATTTCTGGACTACTCAAGCTTTTTGGCCAAAACCAGGAGCATCTGGAGATTGGTTAAATTATGTAAAAAGATAGCACAGGTTATCAGGATATTATTGTGTGAAAATGATGCTTTTACTTTGATCTGATTTCATTGATGTACACAATTATTTCCAATAAAGTGCTAGAATGAGCATGTCTGAAGTCTTTCTTTTTAAACAGCACCTACTAAACTCAGTAAGAGGAGTCCACAGAATTTATGGCCTTAGGGACAGGTTGAACATTGGAACAGAAAGGAAAAGAGGACAATCAAATTGACTTCCAGGAGTCTAGCTAGTGGGTGAGCTGTTGTGCAGTTTACACAAAGGATGCAGGGAGAGGAACAGATTTTGGAAGTCAGATGATGAGTTTAGTATTGGGTTGAGTATGTTGAGTTTGAGGTGCTTGTGATATGCAGGTAGACCCTTTCAGGATACTACTGGAAACCTGGGAAAACCTTTATGGCTGGGATTATGTTTGGGGGGGATTATCTGTGTATGGTAGATATGCTACACAGGGGGACAGGAACACCCAGGCAGAGTACAGACTGGGAGGAATGAGGTGCTGATGCAGTGCTTGGAGGATGGTTAAGAGGAGTGGAAGGGGAAGGGGGGAGGCAAAGCAAGGAGACTGAAAGGTCGTGTGATATGAACTGACTATGAGAAGGATGCAACCGTACTTTGTAAGTGAAGAAAAGACGGGAGGTTAGGAAGTGGAGACAGTGGGAACAGACAGTTCCTTCCAGGAATAGAATGTAGTACAGAAGTAACAGAGGAAGGTTTAGGAGAAAATGGTCAAGGGGGAATAGACATATATGATAAGATTCTGATTGGTTTGCTCAGTACCTATATTCCAACATGCCTTCCTGGGTGGCAGAGGCTGGAAAGTGAAAAACTATACTGAATGTGAAAAACTCCCATTTTCCTAACTAAACTTTAGCTGGAGATTCATATGTGATCTGGTGTTAGTGGTTTAGTTGCTAAGTTGTGTCTGACTCTTTGTGGCCCTGTGGACTGTAGCCTGCCAGGCTCCTCTGTCCGTGAGATTTTCTAGGCAACAATACTTGAGTGGGTTGCCATTTCTTTCTCCAGGGGGTCTTCCTGACCCAGGGATTGAACCTGTGTCTCCTGCATTGCAGGCAGATTCTTTACCTGCTGAGCCCCTGGGGAGCTAAATAAGCGAGGGAGGTTGGCTATCAGGCTGTGTCCACCCATCTGAGGCTGGCACTTTGTAGCCTCAGCTACAGAGGCGGCCAGTGGGTGTGCGTGCCCCATGCTATGTGGTGTGTTCAATCACTCAGTCATGTCCAACTCTTTGTGATGCCATGGACTGTAGCCCACCAGGCTCCTCTGTCCATGGGAATTCCCAGGCAAGGATACTGGAGTGGGTTGCCATTTCCACATGCCCACATGTGCTCTTTTTTTTTATGGATTTTTTTTTTTTTTTAGACCATGCAGCATGTAGGATCTTAGTTCCCCAACCAGGGATAGAAACTGTGCAGAGTCTTAACCACTGGAGGCATTCGTGGTGCTGATGTGAATCCAATAAGAAGCAGTGGACTGGGAAGCTGCTGGGTATGGGGCCGAAGCTGTGTGTGCTACCCAGCCTTCCTGAGTCACATTCCTGGTCTCTATACTGGAGGGTATCTGAGTGAAGTAATTCAGAAAGAGAAAAATAAATATCATATATATGCATATATGTGGAATCTAGAAAAATGTTATGGATGATCTTATTTGCAAAGGAGAAATAGAGACACAGACGTAGAGATCAAATATGCGGACACCAAGGGGAAAGAGGGGGTAGGATGAATTGGGAGATTGGATTGACATATATACACTACTGATGTCACATACAAAATAGATAACTAATGAGAACCTACTGCATAGTCCAGGAAGTTTTACTCAATGCTTGGTGGTGACCTAAATGGAAAGGACATCTAGAAAAGCAGGGGCATATATATACGTATATTTGATTCATTTTGCTGTTCAGTAGAAACTAACACAACATTGTAAAGCAACTATACTCCAATAAAATTTAATTGAAACAAACAACAAAAAAAAGTGGATGGTATCAGAATTAAATGAGAAAACCCTCTAACAGTTTCAGGTTATCTGAACGTGAAGACTTTTAGGCAGTCCACCAGATGGCAATACAGCTCTTTTTTCCATGTGGAGCAGTCAGCTCACAGAAGTTTCCAGTCAATCCTATCATGTTTCTAGCAGCTCAAGAGTTTATTTTACATTTCTGATTTCAGAGACTCTGGATGTAACATAGGGACCATCCAATCCAGCCTCCCCTGAAATGAAGGAATCCCCTTATTAACCATACAGCTGCCAGTTGTTGCCTATTTGATGTTCCTCTGTGTGGCCCTGGGCTTCCCTGGTGACTCAAGATGGTAAAGAATCCACCTGCACTGTGGGAGACCTGGCTTCAAACCCCACGTTGGGAAGATCCCTGGAAAGAGGGGGTGGTAACCCTCTTCAGAATTGTTGCCTGGAGAATCCCCACAGACAGAGGAGCCTGGCGGACTACAGTCCATGCGGTCGCAAAGAGTCGGACATGACTGAGCAACTAAGCACACACACACGTGTATGGCCCTAGGCCACCTGCATCAGGGTCACCCAGGAACATATGCTTACACACGCAGCCCTCAGGACCCTGCTTGACACTCACTGAGAGTCCCTGGGAGAGGGTCTTGAGTGTCTGCTTTGTAAAAACAACCTCCCTGGGTGATCAGAGAGCAGGTTAAAATTGGAGAACTGTGTCCCATGGATGGAGGAGCCTGGTAGGCTGCAGACCATGAGCTTGCTAAGAATCGGACACGAGTGAGCGACTTCACTTTCACTTTTCACTTTCATGCATTGGAGAAGGAAATGGCAACGCACTCCAGTGTTCTTGCCTGGAAAATCCCAGGGGTGGGGGAGCCTGGTGGGCTGCCGCCTATGGGGTCGCACAGAGTCGGACATGACTGAAGCAACTTAGCAGCAGCAGCAGCAAGATAGATGTTAAATTACACTTACATCACAGAATTGTTATGAGTATTAAGTGAGGTCACAGATGCAAGGTGGAAAGGCAAAACACTGCAAATACTCAATAAATGTGATCTGTATGATGAATCTCAGTTTCTCTACCTGTCTGATGGTCACAACAGCTCCTTCTGAGTGTGGGAAGGACTAAATGAGATAATGTAAGTAAAGGATTTGGCCAGTGTCTGACTCATAGGAGTCTTTCAATAATGGTAACTGTCAGGTAGCCAATAATGTAAAAACACCAAAGGCCTGTGATCCTATGGGTGGGATTTTAAAAATCACTAGTTAAAACCATGAGATTAGCAGAAAATTTCTCTACCGACCCCCTGAGGATTGGCACTAAATACACCAATGGCCTTAGAACTAGTATAAAAATTATACCTCTCCTCCTTTCAGAAATTATTTCATAACTAATTCACAATTAATAAAATACCAAGTTTTCAATTTCTAAGTTTTAATTCTTCACAGAATTGGCCTTCTAAACTTTCAAGAGCACAATCTTCAAAATCTTTAAAAAAGATTAAACTTTAATCAGGTCTTTACATAACTCTTGCTAAAGAGAGAGAGTGGAAAAAGGATTGTGAGATAATGATGGTAATAATAAATTTTCCTTTGAAACCCTTAATCCCAAAAGTTTAAGAAGCAACTTTTACATTGTCTAAATCACACAAATAATTTAATTCAGGTATATGAAAGACTCTTCAATTTCCATAAAGATTTACATGCTAGAAAAAAAGTTTCTGCATTAGCAGGTCTCTAACATTATTTATCAAAATCATAGAAATTATTGTATGTATTTAAATTTGGACAGATACCATTATAGAGTGAATTGTTTACATGCAAAAACTTCCAAGTCAAGCAGACTGAATTCCTCTCTGGCTCCACCAGTATGTTTCTTGAAAGTAGCCGTCTTGGAACTTCGCTGCCCTTATAAATAAAAGGGAAGGTCATGTTTATCTCTACAGGGCCCCTGGAAGGATCATGTCAGGCTCTGTACTTAAAATATTTATAGAGATCCTGGCCTGTGTAAATACTCAATGCTTATGTTATCTAAAAACAAAGGGGGATTTCCTTGGTGGTCCAGTGGTTAAGAATCCACCTTGCAATGCAGGGGACATGGGTTCAATTCCTGGTTATGGAACTAAGATCCCATATGCCATGGAACAACTAAGCTTCTGCACCAAAACCAATCCCAAAGTGTGTGTGTGTATGTGTGTGTGTGTGTGTGTGTGTGTGTGTGTGCATGTGTGTGCACATGCGGGAGGCAGGGGGCAGGGAAGGGAGGGGTTTCCTTGCACCAATAAGCAATTCTCAGACACCTAGGTGTCCAATAATTCAACTCAATTCTGGCACTATCTACCTGGGAATAGCATTAAATTCTACTGGTAAAGAACTCAGTCCCATAAGACTACCCTCTACTTCAGATGCCAACTGCAAGCCCAGGTTGTTACCTGTCCTTCTGACTGGCTATAAATCAGAGGTTTCCCTGACCTCCTTGTGTTTGATTAATTTTCTAGAACAGCTCACAGACCTCAGGAAATTTACTCCCTACATTACTCACTTATTACAAAGGATATTAAAGGACTTGAATCAACAACCTGATGAGATGTATAGGGCAAGTTTCCAAACAAAAGGGTTTCTGTCATGGAGTCTGGGGCCAGGTATGTGAGAACATAAAAAATTTCTTGCTTCCCTAACCGGGAAGCTCTCCAAATCCCCTCCATTTGGGTTTTTATACAGGCTTCATTATTAGGTGTGATCAATTAACTCATTGACCACTGGTGAGTGATTCAACCTCTAGCCTCTCTCCTATAACCAGAAACGGAGGTGGGACTGAAAGTTCCACCCCTCTATTCCTGGGTTTGGTTTCCCTGGCACGCAGCCCCCATCCTTAGCTGCTTTCCAAAAATCAACTGATGAACATAACCCAGATGTGGCGAAAAGGGGCTCATTATGCATAACAAGACACCTATTTCGCCTTTATAGCTCTGAAGGGTTTTCCGGAACTGAGAACAAGAGACCAAAAGTTATAACAAATGAGTATTGTTCTTACTGCTCAGGAAAGTCCAAGGGCTTGGGGAGTTGAGAGTCAGAACTGTGGATGAAGACCAAATGTATATGAGAAATATA